TGTTCAGTATAGTCTATGATGTTGTTCGTAATGTGAGCTCTGTGGGCGGTATGTCACATGTGATAACGTTGAACTGTATTAAATGAAGCCTCAGTTGTATCTTCTCTCTTCAACTCACATTTGATCCTATCAGCTTCTTACAGGCTATCGAAAGAACGAAATCGCGTCTTTCAAATCTTTCAACCTTGTGCATTAAATCAAAATGCACGAACGTGTTACGCTCAAAAAATGCATCATAAAAATCACAAACAGACATTTACGCACAGATTATATCGACTGTTTAAGTGGATTGCGAAAGGAAACGTTATACTACTGACCCACCTTTTTGTAGATATCCGTCGATATCTCCAGATTCAAATGTATTGCTGCTTCATTGTCAACCTTTATTTCCTCAGTTTCGGTTTGTGCGCTATTTAATTCCAAACCCGAGAACAGCGCTTCAGAAACGGAAACAATATGGCTAAATGTGGCAGTAACCGTTGAAGAAAGACCACCATTTACGCATCCAGAGGTGAACAGAAGATGAAATCATGGAGGAGAGCGTCTCATTGAGGTCTTGCTGGAGGAGGAGGATGAATGAGCATCAGATGATGGGAGGCTGGGATCAGATCTCTCTCTCTCTCTCTCTCTCTCTCTCTCTCTCTCTATCTCTCTCTCTCTCTCTCTCGGACTGTGACCAGATGAGGTTCGAAAATCTCTACTTTTTGCGCATACACGGTTCATGAATGTCATTGAGTCAACTTTTTAAGAAGTTTAATTTGGTAAAACTAGCCCAGGTTACATTAAATTCATTTTATGTATATATATGATATGTATTATAATTGGCCTTACATTGCCTTTATGCTGCTCAACAAAAAATAAAAATAAAACGCACCATGGTATTTTTATTATTTTATTTTTTGTGTGGAATGGTTATTTTCACCTGTCACTGATGTTTTTAGTGTTTTTTTTTTTGGAAAATAAATATCAGTAAAACCAACACATGCCAGCGACACTAAAGGCTGATTCGACTATGCAGGGGTGCCCAAACTGGGTCCTGGAGGGCCGGTGTCCTGCAGAGTTTAGCTTCAACCCCAATTAGACACACCTGAACCAGCTAATCAAGCTCTTACTAGGCATACTAGATCCCGGGCAGGTGTGTTGAGGCAAGTTGGAGCTAAACTCTGCAGGACACCGGCCCTCCAGGACCGAGTTTGGACAGCCCTGGACTATAGCAAATAAATAAATATACATTCATTTTGGAAAAATTATTTTATTATGTGAGAAGAATCGTGTGGTACAATTGTTAATTATGGCCTACACTTATAGCATCATCATTATACTAACTAAATATCTAACTAAATCAATAAATAATTACACATACATACAAACATCAATCAATCAATCTTCCCCTGCATATGCAAATGTTTTTACATTGACCAATCATAAACAAGAGAGCCGTAAAATAATGAACTAGCCTACATTACTCCTGTGAGAACAGCGAACCGTGGCCATCATGTTGTCTTTCTTATTTCATTGACATTATCACACAGTTACATAACACGCTTTGGGAAGATTTCCTTCTTCATGAGTTGCTTAATGTATGAAAAGACCTTCCTTTAAGGCTACTATAGCGCCCACTGCTATAGTAGTCCACTTCAATGGATCAACCATATAAATTAGAATTCAGTATTGCATCATCAGACATTTCATTTTTATATAAATACGTCGTAGCTGTTAACTTGGGTTGCTTGTTGAACTATCCTGTTAATAGAAAAGATTCATTAATAATGACTCAAGACACACACTCTACATTTTAAATCATTAGCTTATGGCAGAACACAGAGGCCGTGATAAGGGACACTTACCATTTACAGAATTGGCCCCAGATTAACAGGATTTGTACATTTTATATGAGTGCACAAACCAAGACTCATTTGCAGTTTTACTTTAGCTATATTAGCCTGACTCCCATTTGAAAACATTAGTATTTTCTACACAGCTTGATTCTAGTTCAGCTGCACAGCTTTTATATAAAGAAGCTGTTTCTTACAACACATGAAATATTCATTTGATTCCAGGGAAATAAAAGGCAGGAGTCTGACATTGCACTGAATATCAATAGCGAGAGAAGCAGTAATATATAAGGAATAACAGGAAATGATTACAATGCCTCCCTCTTTCTGCATTGAGCCAGGTGACCTGGAAGTAAATCATGACAGCAAACATCCAGCCTACTCATTCATCCCGGCCTCAGGCACAGTCACTCCTCTTCTGCTCTGCTTCATAGCTCTGGGGACATCTCCAGAACTTCAGCGTCAGAGCAGACAGCAGCACTCCTACCTGCTTATCTACACGCTGAGAAACCCAGCATGACTCCTTCCCTCTCTAATGCTGGCATCTTTGGCACATCTCTCAAAAAACAAGAACAGATGGATATGGCCTAGTCCAGGGGTAGGCAAGTTCGGTCCTAGAGAGCCGCAGTCCTGCAGAGTTCAGCTCCAACCCTAATCAAACACACCTGAACAAGCTAATCAGTGTCTTCAGGATTACTAAGGCTATAGGCAGGTGAGTTTTGTTTTCAGGGTTGGAGCTGAACTCTGCAGGACTGCAGGACATACACTACAAATATTCAAAATACTTTCGCAACACACTAGCATATTGCTGCAAATATTAGCAATGGCAAGTACCACTCACATTTTGTTGCCTTTATCAATTTTTGTCATTTTTGATAGGACCATTTTAATTTTGTGAATAAAAGCTTTACATTTGTAACATCAGCAAAACTGCAAACTAACAAGGACAAAGGGAAGCTTACCAATTTAAAACAATTACCAATTTAAAATCATCCTGAATCATTCTGTTAGGCAAGCATGTATTAGAAGCTTTTAATGACTGAGCCTTTCTCTAATCAAACAAATCATTGATTAACACTAAAAATGTTTTAAACAATACATGAATAGTACTCCCATTCCATTGTCTTAAAATAAGACAATATTATAGAAAATTGAAATAATATCACTCACTACCATCTGTCACATGGTGCAGCTTCCCAGCTAAAATAAATTCCTTGTTCATCCCAATGTCTTTCCATGTACTCCCATGAGAACAGAGTTCAACCCAGTATAAACACCACTTTCCCTACTTTGGACTAAATTTGGCATGACTAGATATACTGTACAAATTATGGTAACAGGCTTCCATTTTTTATATGGATAAGTTCTAGTTGTTTACTTTCGTTGCTTGCAGAACTATTTTGAACTATTCTATGGAGTACATTCCATTAATGACAGAAGATGCCCCCTCCACATTTACAGCAGTAAATCATTAGCTTATGGCAGAACACAGAGGCCGTGATAAAGGACATTTGTGACCCTGGAGCACAAAACCAGTCTTAAGTCACTGGGGTATATTTGTAGCAACAGCCAAAAAAACATTGTATGGGTCAAAATTATCCATTTTTCTTTTATGACAAAAATCATTAGGATATTAGGTAAAGATCATGTTCCATGAAGATATTTTGTAAATTTCCTACCATAAATATATCAAAACGTAATTTTTGATTAGTAATATGCATTGCTAAAAACTTCATTTGGACAACTTTAAAGGCGATTTTCTCAGTATTTAGATTTTTTTTGCACCCTCAGATTCCAGATTTTCAAATAGTTGTATCTCGGCCAAATATTGTCCTATCCTAACAAACCATACATTAACGAAAGCTTATTTATTCAGCTCTCAGATGATGTATAAATCTCAATTTAAAAAAAATTTACCCTTATGACTGGTTTTGTGCTCCAGGGTCACATTTACCATTTAGCCTACAAAATTTTGATTTAACATTGTTTGTACATTTCATGTTTTATATAGCGTGAACATTCTTTATTTGCTATCAATAATCAGTTGCGGTTTACTTTTATATCAGCCTAACTCCAGTTTGAGCATTTTATTATGTTCTATAGTAATAACAGTAGATATTTAAAAGCATATTTAAAAGAAACTAACCCCAAACCAAACCTCTAACCTTAACCCTATAGTAAGTACATGTAGTTACTTAATACTACTCAGTAATATTACTTACTTAATTACTAATTAAATTGTAACAACATCACCTTAAAATAAAACTATAATAAGGTTTTTTTTTAACAAAATGATAGCATCATGTGTCATATTAAAGAAAAAACAAACTATATCTGTAATCAGCATTTTGAAAAGTCAAATGAAAGAATGTTTAAGTTTCTTTACTGAGCTACCCTTATGATAAACTGAAATTCCTAAATCGCAGTGTCTATTTACACTAAGTGCAAATAGGCCGCCTTTTTGGCAGTGGCTATTTACACCAACTCCGCCCACCAAAGTGTGTCCTCAGTGGCTCTGATGTCGGGATGTTCTTCTACATCCAACTACAAAACACCTGCATTGCTTAGAAAGACTGTTGTCGCTACAGTTGCCCGAGCGCAGAGAAAATGAAAGGCAGCGTACAACTGGCTGAGGGCGGAGATATGCAAATACGGGACAGTATGTCAGCGGTCGTGGGTGGGGCCTGAGGTCATACTGCTCAGAAAATCAAAACCGCTTGAGACTGTTTGGGTTTTTTGGGGATTTTTATCATTGTAGGGTAGTTGTGTTCACACACTGCTAAGACACATTCATATGCAAACACCATGTAAAAGTGAATTTTGCATTCGATGACCCCTTTAAAATGAAAATATTATAATCTTACTACTGTAAGGTTAACCCTACCTGGTTTACAGAAATTTAGAAAAGTAATCAAATGTAATCAGTTACATTACTTTAATAAAGTAAATGAAAAGTTACACTACTTATTACATTTTAAACAGAGTAACTTGTAATCTGTAACCGATTACATTTCCAAAGTAACCTTCCCAACACTGATAGTGAACTGGTGCACAGATGTCTGTCTGCTTATCTATCAGTCTGTCTGTCACAAAAGCGATTAGGTTGTAACATTCTGTCGATTAATGGTACACTGAACAGATATGTCACTGCAAACCAGTTGTAGCTGCATTAGCAGACTTTTATTAGTGCATAATACAGTTCTGCACATTTCACAAACAAGTCGTTACAATAAAACATAAATATATATTTTCCTTTTTTGTTTCACTTGAGATACATATACACACAAAGTCAATTAAACCTATATATTTTTCTTTCTATTCAGTGAGCTACATGTACGATAAAGCAGAGGTTCTTAATACAGTATGTTGTCCGTTGAGGCTCTATTATTCAAGAATTTTCTTCTGCAACTATATGGTGTTTGCGTGGTAAAAGTCATTGTTGACGCTCCTTATCTGCGAGTCTCTTTGCCTTGTTCTGCAGGTAGCGTGCTTTCCCTTCTTCAAACCGCTTCTGCTCCTCTTCACCTTCCAGCTGCAAGGAGATAAAAGACACATTTTACACACAAGCACAGTGAAGTTGGATATCGTGGTGTCCTGGAAACCCTGCACTTTTGAAGGTCATACAGATATCATGGAAAACCACTGAAGTGTTAAGAACATTATCAGAATATGTTCACACAAGCACTTCCTCATTTTATGTTCTCCCACCTGAGCATTAAACATCCCGTCAACTGCAGTGAAAGTTTGTAGTTGTGTTTATCTTGCTGTACTTCACAATAAATAATGCAAAAGTAACTACAAGAGAACTTTACTGGTGGAAACATGTTAACATTTTGTCTTCACAACACTGTCAGTCTGGCTGGACTGTATCGATGTCTAACTGATACTGGGTGTCTGTAAAAACATCACTATGGAATCTGTCATTTTCACATGCCATGTCCATCTATTCAAAAAACATGATTTTGTTTAAATGTGTGAATTTCAACATGTATTAAAAGTTTATGCACTGTGAACTTACATGAACAAACAAGAAACAATTGGATTTTATGAACTAACAAAGATGAATGAATGCTGTAAAATATAATGCTTATTGTGTTGGCCAATACATTAATCAAACTAACAAAGATTAATGAATGCTGTAAAAAAAATTATGCCTATTGTGAGCTTGTTTGTGTGGTAATACATTAATTAGTTAAAAAACATTACTTAAAGAGTGCAAAGAGGCTATTATTGAGGGATGGGGGTCTGACAGAAAACCTGCTGCAATGCAATACAATACTGTTTCTCATTTCACAAGTGAAGAGAGTGCATTGTTTTTTGTTTTTTTTAACTAAGTAGAAAAAAAAATTATTAGATTATATATTTTACAAGAAAACATGATTTCAGTCTTTAATTTGTGTTACTTGCCGTTTCTTTGTAATTATTTGTGAAATCGAGGAATTCCTGATTGAAAATGGCTTCTACACCTACAAGTTTAATTAAATGGGTCAGAGGGTCATGTTAAAAAATTAGGATTATGAGTTATTTTGACAAAAAAACACCACTGACAATATAAGTGGCCCTTATAAAAAATTTAACCCTTTAAGATTACTGTGCTCTGTGACTTTCCACTAAACTAATTTCTTGGGAGATCTAAAACAAGACAAAAGATGTTTGCTTTTGGAGCGCAGCTTCATCACAGACAAACAACAATACTGCGCGAGAGAGCAGGATGTCAGTTGACGTTAGGCTTCATCTTGCAGCTGCACACACTACACCATGGCTATTCTTATCATTGGCTATAGGTCACCAGCTAGTCATGTGCGGCAGTGGCAGATGGCGGCCAACCTTAGGGAACAAACTGTGCAGTGACAACTGAAGCAGCCTGGCTGATTTGTGCACAAATGAGGATCACAGATATATGATGCATATCCACAGCAAGGTTATATAAGCTCAAGCAGATACACTAAACTTCACAGGGCTGCTGATGTTGAGGCTCATTTTATGCTTCTGAGGTGACCCAGTTTAACGGAGAGCATATGAACTGTTGCACTTATTTTTATTTAATTTAAGTGTGGCAGTTCTGGCTGTCATTAAAGAAAAATCAAATGTAATCAGTTACATTACTTTAATAAAGTAAATGAAAAGTTACACTACTTATTACATTTTAAACAGAGTAACTTGTAATCTGTAACCGATTACATTTCCAAAGTAACCTTCCCAACACTGATAGTGAACTGGTGCACAGATGTCTGTCTGCTTATCTATCAGTCTGTCTGTCACAAAAGCGATTAGGTTGTAACATTCTGTCGATTAATGGTACACTGAACAGATATGTCACTGCAAACCAGTTGTAGCTGCATTAGCAGACTTTTATTAGTGCATAATACAGTTCTGCACATTTCACAAACAAGTCGTTACAATAAAACATAAATATATATTTTCCTTTTTTGTTTCACTTGAGATACATATACACACAAAGTCAATTAAACCTATATATTTTTCTTTCTATTCAGTGAGCTACATGTACAATAAAGCAGAGGTTCTTAATACAGTATGTTGTCCGTTGAGGCTCTATTATTCAAGAATTTTCTTCTGCAACACTATATGGTGCTTGCGTGGTAAAACTCATTGTTCACGCTCCTGGAACAAACTGTGCAGTGACAACTGAAGCAGCCTGGCTGATTTGTGCACAAATGAGGATCACAGATATATGATGCATATCCACAGCAAGGTTATATAAGCTCAAGCAGATACACTAAACTTCACAGGGCTGCTGATGTTGAGGCTCATTTTATGCTTCTGAGGTGACCCAGTTTAACGGAGAGCATATGAACTGTTGCACTTATTTTTATTTAATTTAAGTGTGGCAGTTCTGGCTGTCATTAAAGAAACATATTTGTGACCCTGGACCACAAAACCAGTCTTAAGTTGCTGGGGTATATTTGTAGCAATAGCCAAAAATACATTGTATGGGTCAAAATGATTGATTTTACTTTTATGCCAAAAATCATTAGGATATTAGGTAAAGATCATGTTCCATGAAGATATTTAGTAAATTCCCTACCGTAAATATATCAAAACGTATTTTTGATTAGTAATATGCATTGCTAAGAACTTAATTTGGACAACTTTAAAGGCGATTTTCTCAATATTTAGATTTTTTTTGCACCCTCAGATTCCAGATTTTCTAATAGTTGTATCTCAGCCAAATATTGTCCTATTATCCTAACAAACCATACATCAATGGAAAGCTTATTTATTCAGCTTTCAGATGATGTAGAAATCTCAATTTAAAAAAAATGTACCCATATGACTGGTTTTGTGGTCCAGGGTCATATTTGACTGTTCACTGGCAAACAAGAATGAAATATTCCATTAAGCTCTGTAATAACCTGATTTAACTAATGAAACTTGTATGTGAACAGTTGTTTCTTGCAACAAAGGCAAAACAAAACAGCTCTCCCTGTAATTTCAATCTGAAAACAACATCATGTGACCTTGATGGAAATCCTGACTGGGTCAGTGACTGTCCTGTTGCTCAGGGCTCGTGATGAGGCCAGGATAAGACACGGAGACATGGCAGCAGTGCTTGTCTTGAACAAATTAAATTAAGCTAGAGGGAAGCTCAGTGCCTCAGTCACAGAGAGACTGACTGGCAGAAGACCAGTGATTGCTCTAGCAGAAACCACCAGAGTGTGAAACATTATACAATTTAGTGAAATTAATGAAGCTCTCAGCAGATAGAGCAATATACTTTCTTTACATTGACTGAGCAATGTGTGTAATCAAGACTTGCATTTCTAATAAGTGGATTATCTGAATAACATCTGTCACTCTCTTAACTGTCACTGCAAACAATTTCTCAGCAGAAAGTCAACGCTGAAATTTAATCCATTATGAATATGAATCTATAATGAACATTACATTAGATGCCCAAAGTTTCTTCAGCCATGCAAATACGAGCCTATTCCTTAATAAAGCATGTTTTAGACGAGTAACAATAACCTGACCTGAAATGTGCTGTTGCTACCTAACATAGTTTTTCTGCCTGGTTCGACCTAAAAAAATACTTTAGTTGGTGCAACGTAATATGAAAAAGTTGAGTAACATTACGGCTTGAATAAAACCAGTTCATTTCGACATTACTGCACTTTTTTTGTACAGCTCCAAAATGAACAAAAACTCCAAAAAGCATAAAAATGGGTTAAGGTAGAGTAGTCCATCTTCTGAAGCCATACAAAAGGAGCCAGAAGCCCATATTCACTGATAATCTCCTCTTCAACGGAACCTGTGAAATGTCATTTGCAATTGAGTTCAGGTTCAAAAATTGTTTGTTGTATGGAAAAGAGCTGATTAAAGGAATCTTTAATTACACAAGTTACACTTAAAGCATTTTGGCTGAAACAACTGCAGTGAAGTGCCATTGTTATGCAACATGAAGGTAAATAATCAGCTGCTAATATACCAGCTTTCGATACAGATGATATGATATCACATTTGTGACCCTGGACCACAAAACCAGTCATAAGGGTCAATTTTTGGAAATTGATTTATACATAATTTATATGTATATTTAAATTTATACATAATCTGAAAGCTGAATAAATAAGCTTTCCATTGATGTATGGTTTTTTTCTGCCTGGTTCGACCTAAAAAAATACTTTAGTTGGTGCAACGTAATATGAAAAAGTTGAGTAACATTACGGCTTGAATAAAACCAGTTCATTTCGACATTACTGCACTTTTTTTGTACAGCTCCAAAATGAACAAAAACTCCAAAAAGCATAAAAATGGGTTAAGGTAGAGTAGTCCATCTTCTGAAGCCATACAAAAGGAGCCAGAAGCCCATATTCACTGATAATCTCCTCTTCAACGGAACCTGTGAAATGTCATTTGCAATTGAGTTCAGGTTCAAAAATTGTTTGTTGTATGGAAAAGAGCTGATTAAAGGAATCTTTAATTACACAAGTTACACTTAAAGCATTTTGGCTGAAACAACTGCAGTGAAGTGCCATTGTTATGCAACATGAAGGTAAATAATCAGCTGCTAATATACCAGCTTTCGATACAGATGATATGATATCACATTTGTGACCCTGGACCACAAAACCAGTCATAAGGGTCAATTTTTGGAAATTGATTTATACATAATTTATATGTATATTTAAATTTATACATAATCTGAAAGCTGAATAAATAAGCTTTCCATTGATGTATGGTTTGTTAGGATAATAGGACAATATTTGGCCGAGATACAACTATTTGAACTGATACTAAAAATCTAGATATTGAGAAAATCGCCTTTAAAGTTGTCCAAAAGTCCTTAGTAATGCATATTACTAATCAAAAATAAAATTTTGATATATTTACGGTAAAAAATTTACTAAATATCTTCATGGAACATGATCTTTACTTAATGTCCTAATGATTTCTGGCATTAAAGAAAAATCTATAATTTTGTCCCAGACAGTATATTGTTGGCTATTGCTACAAATATTTACTTACGACTGGTTTTGTGGTCCAGGGTCACATTTGTGCTGTTTTGTCAGC